ATATAAGTATATATACATATATGCATATTCGATATTTTACGTGTCGTAAGATGGCCAGGTCGCTGCCTACATACTGACACCTACCTTCCATAAAACCTTCACAACTATATACATACATATTAATGTATATTTATGTATTAATATGTATATGTATTCATATGTATATTAATTTGCGTATATGCGTATTTAAATGCATATGTGTATATTAATGTACAAATGTATGGTTCATGTGAGTACATGTGTGTATATATTTGCTTATTCATATATATATGTATGTATGTATGTAGAAATGTACGGACGTTGACGTGGTTCGAGCTTAATTCACGCCGATTAACGGTCATGCGAATAAAAGTCAAAGTCTAACCCACGTCTTTTATTCGACGAACGGCTTCTTAAGTGATAATAAAGAGGTATATGACCGCTTTTAAAAGACAAACGTTTTAAACATGTTCATCATCGAGACTACTTTCCATATCACGTTTTCCAATTTTCATATCTTTTCTACTTCTTTTTATAACATTTTAAGATTGAAATTACGATCTTCCCATGTTTATCGCTATCAGTTGTGAATAATGGGTGGTATAAATTTTTTTAATTATATTTCGGTTAACCTGCGTTAATTGTTTATTCGAAGGTTTAATTTTAGGTAGGCTGCAAAAAAATTCGTGACGTTTTATTCGATAGGAACGAACCTAAAAAAGGCAAGAATTTTTTTATGTAGATAATAATAACAAAACTAAAAGATATTTTTGGATTAGAGTAAGGGTGAATTAATGCATGGTCTTTATGGGCTACAACTCGGGTTTCCGTTCGAGTTCAAAAATAAAACAAATGGATTTTGCAAAAAAGCGAATGAATTGCCACAATTAACTTAAACTTAAGTTAATTGGGTATTTCCCAAAACAGTGTTTGTTCGGAGCCCTTCAAAGTAAGGGAGGGTTCCAATTGTGGGCTTCTTACTAATATTATTTTCTTTTTTACAGGTACAACCTGGACGTTATGCAAGTATGGCCAATCTTCAACTTCGTTGAACCACCAACAACAACAACAACTTCGATTGAAGCTTTAATAAGAAAAAAATGGTCTATAGAGGTAGCTTGCAAACAGATGATCCAAGAGATGCACCGAAATTGGTCAGAATGTCGCCACTTAGAACGAGTAGACCCAACGGACCAGTTTACAACAATTTTAGAACTTCAACACCAATTAAAAATGTTTGTCAGGGATCTTACATTGGTCCTATCGATTCAAACCATGCTAAACATATCGATGAGAGACGATTGGGTCGTGAAAGAGACATCGAATCAATGGAGAAAGTGATTATGAGAACAACTGGATTAAAAATTGGTGCACCTAAGCTTCGTAATATTAGTCAAATACGAGAAAGCGTGTTCGTTGATCCCTCACTGATGCCGATGAGTCAAATCGGTAGATCAGATGTTCGAGGTCGTCCACGAACTATAGCGATTGGATTGGAAGAATCTAACGGTAGAGTTTCCAGAGTTCAAAGTTCAATGTTGGCTGATCTGAAAGACCTGGAACGACTTCGTAATACACCGCCGTCTCAAAGGAACGCGAAAACAACGAATAAATTGGATAAAACTGAGACTAAAAATTCGACGACGACGACGACGACGACAAATTTGAAAAAAAATTCAACAGGAAATTCGACTAAAATTCGATCGGATATTATGAAAATACAACAGATGTTCCAGATTCCTGATAATAATAGCAAACCGACAGTTAGGATTTCTCAAGAGAGGAAGTCGAGGGTCGAGCACGAGAAGGATGATAAAAAGTTAGCTGGGGAGATCAACAGGACACGTTTGCTTGCCCAAAAGCTCTTGGAGGCGTCTCGAAATAACCGAGACGCGTTGAAGGATCGTTATGGTAATACCAAGAACGCGTCATCTAACAAACAACTACAGACGAAGGAAGTTAATGGTAAAGCTCCCTGTAAGAGTACAACCATTCAAGTGAAAAATCTTGACTCAAGGCAATCCAAGACCAAGACCAAGCCTACTGCAGCAACAACTATCACGACGACGACGACGACGACGACGACGACGACTGAGAAAATCGAAACGAGTTTGAACGAACCGCAACCACGACCACCAATTCGTAAAAGAAGAGACTCGAGGAATCGAGTTAACGATGATACTCAAGTTAATCCTTTGGAAGAGGATCTCGATGATATTTCGAAACATTCGTTGAATTTATCTAAAGAATTGGAAAACAATTGTCAAAACAATTCGAAATTTGTACAAGGATTATTGGATAGACCGGATATATTGGATGGACTTTTAAAGGAATCCGATCAACAGCTGGAAGATTTGAAAATGGATTTAGGGGAGAGGGGAAGATCGAGAAGTCATTGGAGGGGATTTATACAATCGATGAGATTACATGACGTGGAATTACATTCGGATAGCGAGGATCAACGAAAAGGTAAGTAATCTTTGTTAAACAAACACATTTTGAACATTTGAAATAGTTAATAGTTGTTGTGATCTTTGATGATTTTGTTAGACATTTAAACACATATTCTAAGATACATCATATGTTTCTAAACTTATCTAAGTAGAATGAATTTTACTCGATGTTTGATTGGATTAGCAAAGTTAACGGAGTTGTTTAAAATGACGGTACAACTGGCGTGGCCATTAATCCCTTGGTTGGCCTGTGGCAACCCCTATTTTTAGATACCCGTACTCGCTCACTCGGTCTCATTTACTAGTGTAGGTCAGGGTGGTGTGTGACTAACATATGTCACTACATATGGATTTGGCGGGAGAAACAACCAAGTACCGTTTTCCTTTTCTCTTGTCGCAGGAAAAGGCATGTAATGACAAGTCAACCGAGTCTAAGTTATCCTATTTCATTCCTGTCCCTCTCTCTTTCTCTCTCTCTCTTTCGGTTTTACGAATTCATTTTAGGAAAATGAGAACTATGATTAATTTTGTATCTTGTCGTATAAACGTCCGTATCCGTTTATATTCTTAAAAAGAATAAAAAGGGGAAAAGAAAGAAATAGAATAAGGACATGGAGAGATACGAGAGGGATACGTCTGTTAATTTTATCTTCGTTTTGATACCTTAGCGATGAAAGTGCCGTGTTCCAAGCCAAGTTAAACCGAGCCTTCTCCTTCATGTCCTTTTTTTAGCTTTTAAGTGTCCTTATCTACGACATTATCTAAATACACACGAATATACTCTATCTCTAGTTCGTTGCACGCAACGAGTTCAGATAACAGGATAACTTGATAGACGTTCAATGTTTAACTACAAATCCTATCAGAAAGGATGTTTTTCAGTGTCCTTTGGAACAACATCGTGAAGAAGTTAAAAGAACATTTTTGAATAGTAAAAAATAGTAAAAACGAAAAGAGGGTATATACATATATCTTCTATACAAAATCTTAAAGATAAGATTCCTAGTATCTTTTAGATGGCAGATAAAAATATCAGATTAAAAAGTTTTCGATGTTTCGTTTTGCTCGATAAATAATTGTTCGCGAGTGACTCGGCTCAATTTGTGGGTCAGAAAAATATCAAAAGAAAATGTTACTCTCTCATCTTGGTTTATGTTACTTTCGAAGTTCATAGATGAACGCAACGTTGTACAGATCGTTCGTGGATCGGTTGGGTTCGCGGTTTTAATGTCACGTTTTCTTTAGGAACAGAAGGTCTCTCAGTGCGAATCGCTCCGCATGCGGATTCTCACGAACTGAACTGAGGGAAAGTTTATTCGATAAATGAGAAGGACTTTAGTATACTAACATGGATTATATACAAGAATATATATATATTGTATATGTGTGTTTATATGCGTGTATGTATCTGTCGAAGGATGAGCAACGTACGTTCATTAATAGCTCGACGACACGCTATCATTTTTGTTTGTTGCTCGAGCGTTAAATTGCACTCGTGTCGCATCAATAATTACCTAAATAAATCGTGCTTTATGAATTTTATACGATTTTTCTTTTTTTCTTCGTAGTTGTAATTAATTATGAAAGTTATTACATTATTTTTATACATTGCATTAAACTTTGTTCTGTAAATCGTAAGCTCATATAATATCGCAAATAACTCGACTTTTCTTCTAAATTATAGATATATATTAACTTTAGCAAATATAATATATATTATATAATTAATATATACTTTATATTATATATTAATACATAATATATATACATATTAAATTTAACAAATTATATTATGTTAGAAAAATATTTATCATTCACAACGCAAATCTTTGTGCATTGCGTACAAATATCTAAACCTTATATCTCTAATGATACTACAAATCCTTAAAAACCTTTGACAAAGAAAAATAAACGACTAAAAAGAAAATACTAGATTATCGGAAAAGCACAGTTAAGTGTTAATAGGTACCAACCGATAAAGGTTTCCGGTTACAATCGATCGTTACGTTTAAGTCATTTTTATCTATAAATGCGTTTCCTCTCGGCACACATCCGAAATATCCGGATTCCCTTTCTCAGTAGGATATGGGTTGGAGTGGTAGGATACTTCCCTATATCTATATACACAACCATACATACAAACATATATATATACACGTATATAGGCGGTGTCGGCCCTTGCCCTTGAGTCTACGCCCTAATATCGATCTGAGTTCCTTTCCAGCCCCCTTCCCCCCACCACCATATTCTCACCACCATCACTATCACGATCACCATCACCATCACCATGGTGGTGATGGTGGTGACTTATAGTACTCGTCTATACTCTGCGTATCTTTGCAAACACACACACACACACACGTATATATAGAAATCATACATACATACGTATGAAACGCATCGTCGTAACCCCTCTCTTCCTTTACCCCTCTACTCTTCTTTCTCTTCCTCCTCCTGTCTCACATCAGTACATAACCAATCGTTGGTACCATCGTCCCCATATGCCACCGATGTGTTTTACTCGACTCTCAGTGCAAACCTAGCTGTCAAACGGTCAACACTTTCCAGACGACCGAATCTATCCAGTTGTGAAACGTTGAATCGTCTTTATCTTCTATTTTCTCTTTCTTTCTCTCTCTCTCTCTCTCTCTCTCTTTCTCTCTCTTTCTGACTGCTATCGTCCATTACCGCGCACGATAGCTCGCGCTCAATCCCTCCAGCTCGAAAAAGATGTCAGTACAGATGTGACCACGCGACTGGGATACACGCGTTCCGAGACCCTTTTCGAGATGATGGTTCTTTGCGACGTTTGCGATCAAAAAGGTAAAGATCATGCTTATTTATATTTATTTACCTTCTATTCTTAAATATAGGTGTCTGTGTGTTTGTATGTGAATTTACGTGGGTGGCTACTTGTATCGTTTTTTTTTCTGTTATCCTTATCTCTTATTTCTATTCTTATGTACACGTGCTGTGTGTATAAATATGTATGTGTGTGTGTGTATGTGTCTATTAGGTTGCCCAGAAATTTTTCATATCATTTAAATAACATCGGATAATCTTAAGTAGAAGTTGGTCTGATTTTTGACAGTTTTAAATAACAATAAATTATAGATATGTTTACAAATATTAGTTAGATTTAATTTTTATTGATCGTGGTATGAGAATTTTCCAAGCAATTATGATAAATGTGAGTGATATGAAAAATTGCTGACTTAACATAGACAAAAATGTTTTGTCAGATCAAATTTATTCGTATTTTTCAACATGGTCCGTGAAAACTCGTATAGTAGAAAAAAGAAACCAAAATAGACGGAAAATTTGTGTAATACGCCCACGTATATTTATGATCAACCTACGTATATAATGCTGTATAGAAAGTAGGATATTTTGTTCATGGGGGAAATATAAAATAAAAACAAATGTATAGAAGAAAGATTAGGTCCGATTGTCTTTCTGTTGAGTGTGTCAACATGGGGTAACATGTAATACCGAAGATTAATCGTTTTCCGTAAATCACTCGATTGTCTCTGTCACACTTGACTATAAGTGAAATACAGTAAACTTGTGTCACTGTTCAACTAGAAAGCAATACGTTCTTGTGTGACAATCATTTTTCTTTTCTTCTAAGTATATATATGTGTGTATATATATATATATTTATTTATTATTATGTATGTGTTATCGGGTCTTTTTCTTCAATTGTAAGATCTCTCGCGTGCATTAGAGATCTCTCTCGTGCAACTTGCACGAGGTGAACAACGTGTGCGTGTGAGTTTACCTGAGAAAGGTGCACGTGCAACTGAGGAACTGGTTTGATCTCGAACTATGTGCCGCTAGATACTACTAGTTACCCCGTTAAAGGTTAACGGATTCCAATCGAAACAATTTCTTAGTTTTTTTTGTTTCTTACAATTCTTTATCTTTGATTTATGTATATCCATCCTTGTAGAATATGTCATTTTGTATGAATCTGTCAAATGTTGACATCTTTTTTACTAACTTCTTTTTGTGAAAACTTTAACTACTTTTGTATCTTTGATTCATAGATTATTTTTTCTTTTGTGTTTTGTGCACAACTATATTGTTTTCTTTAGTGATTGTATTTTTTTTTTTTTTTTAACATTTAAATCTAATACATTGAATCATCTAATGTAAGATTAGATTTTTTTCTTTTTACAAAATTTAACTTATTTCTTTTTCGTTTTCAAATTTAATTTAACTTCTTATGAAATTATTCATCATTTTTGAATAAAAAAAATTTAACAATATTATCTACATCGAAACTAGGTTCTAAAAAAGAAATTGATTTGTTTAAAAAACCAGAAAATGAATAATTTAATTATTAATAACAATTAACTTACAATTAATGCAATTTATTCAGCATTTAGCAAGTACTTTTCTATATCGTGTGTCTCGTATCATTGAAACTATTTAAATGGACACGTTTAAATAGAATTAACCGACATTCCGAATGAAAGGGAAAGCGAATTATCTTGACCTTGAAAGGTTGAAAGAGGAGTCGACGAGGAGCTTCTAAAATCGATAGAGGAGGATTCTCCTCCGTTTTGCTATTCGTGCAACTTCGTCGTCTTTTTCCGCCAAATATCCGAATCTCCCGAAAGCAAAAGAGAGGAGACTTCGTGCAGCAGCTGCTACACGTTCGATGGGAAACGTGTGAGTGAAAAAGAAAGAAATAAAAAAGAGAGAGAGAGAGAGAGAGAGAAAGAGAGGGAAGAAAATAAATAAAAGAAAGAAAGAAAAGAAATAAAAGAGAGAGGATTCATGGTGAACAACGCCTGACATTTTTCACCCCGCTGTAATCTTGCTTACTACCACAACGTAGAAACACATTTATGAAACTAATACTTTTATATACATAAGCAAACACGCACACACATTTATATACATGGATAGATATTTAAGGTTACATAACACACACATAAGGGTGAAAATCATTTAGACGTGCTTCCGTAAGCGCAAACGAATCGAATTTCCTTTATATCTTCTTATGGT